TTTCTTCATCTTTACATAGATAATATGGATGTATGTATACTGGCTGCCCTTACTGCTCACCCCAGTTTTAATTTTGACCCTTGAGTAAATATTTTAATAGTTTTTCAACATCTGTAGAGTTGCTTAAAATAAAAATACATACAAATGGATTTGTGGTATAAAAAGGTTGCAATAAATCCCATTATAGCATTCCAAGAGATGTTTTCAAGCTTCTTATTAAATAAGCATTGCTGGAACATTTTAAAAAGTTAAGAAAAATATTAAGAACAATCATGTTTGTGGGTGTATTTGCATAAAATATCAGAGGGAGGAAGAGAATACAGTTATCTTTTAGTATAATTAACTGCATTATAATTATAATATATTATATTATAATGCTTTCCCGATAATTTTCTATTTGACTTATTACCATCATTGATTGATTTATTACCATCGATTGATTGAGAAATAGATTTAGAAGTATATTACTTTCTGAACATTATGCTCTAACTTTATTGGGAGGGCACTTTTCAAAAGTCACACTGATGTTAATCGTGCCGGGAAATACTCATTAGCAGTTCTGGAATACATTAAAGGAAAACACATTTTTGCTTTCCTTTTGCTATGTGATGTAGCATTATGGTGTAAGGAAGAATTATAAAGGAGTATGTTATATTTATTGTGCACTCTTGTGACATAAGAAGGATAGCTCACCTTCAAATAAAGCTCTGTCCTGCAAGTTTTCTTCATTTAACAAAAGCCAAAATTTTTAAAAAATAACTTCCAAACATCAGATTGACCTAATAAAAGTATGAGGCTGATTTTTTGTAGTTAAGTGTATAGTTTTGTATATTATCCAGATGTATGAAAGAGGTAAATAATCTTGACTCATGCCCTATGAAGAATGCATAATGAGGTCTTGATTGAATCAAATTCATTTTAGACAGGAATTAATTTTTATAGGGTAGTCTTTAGGTTCAGTTGTAATTCCATTTGAGTCTGGAGACCATAGCAGAAATGGGTTGTTGCCCATTCTTTCCTTTCCCCAAAACAGCTCCCTGAATATTGCATCTCAGCTTGGTAGCAGGAGAATACGTTTCGAAATGCATTATTGTTTTTATTGGTCAGGACACTAATGGAGGTCTTCCATGACAGCTATGTTTTATAAGCTGAATACTCAAATTAGGCTGGTTACTGATCAGTTGTTGGGTTATTGATTTGTGTCATTTGTCAAAGAGCTGGAAAAGCAGATTTGTTGTGCTCTTAATTTAAGGCTCCCTATCCCACTGGGTACCAGTCTCCAATGTAGTAGTAGCTTAGATGTTGCAAGGCTTAATTTAGCTAGCAGTGCCTGTGAGAAAGTAATAAATGCGGACCTTGCGACATAAGGAATCTTATATAAACTAAAGAATTCCCAGTAACGAGAAGAAACATAATTGTCAGTGGCTGTGCGGTGTGTGTTTCTGTACAGAGGTTCAGAATAGACTTTTCAGATGGCTTTTGCTACAGTGAGAAGGAGGAGAGAATGTTGCCTGTGTTGCCTGTCCACTGAGACTACGTTTGTAGCCATATTGTCACCATGAGCATCCCAGCATTGATTTGTGTTCTGAACTGCATTTTTAGTTATGTTTATTTTTATTACTCTATCATTTTTATAATTTTATTATTATTTTATTTGTTCTTATATCTTACTTTATTATTTTTTTATTATTATTATTATTAAGCTTGGAAGGCATGGTGTAACATGCTGTCCTTATGTGTTGGTTTGCAGGCAATCGCTTGCCAATGCATTAAACCTCTTGCATCATTTTACAAAGAAATTATATCGGTTAGATACATGCATTTCTTCTGTAGATGTGACTATGGAATTTAAGGAATGATATATTTAGTGTATCATTTGCTGGCATAATGAACATGCGCTTTAAAAATAGAAGCCAGTTGGAGGCCCCTTCAAAAAAGAGAGATAAAATCACAGAAACTATAAAGGTTATTTTGAAAACTAGCCATAATATTCCCCTGTGTGGGTTTTCTGTTTTCCCTGAATAACAAGTACAGAAACGTCTTTCTGGGTCTGTCCCAGTTTTAGAAACTGTGATTTTTTTTTTTTTTTCCCCCCCTTTTTTCTTTTGAGCAACTGCTCAGGAGAATAAATTAGGCGATATGGCATGTATGGGGGGAGGGAATGTCTCAAAGAAAAGCTGACTAGAGGTGTGACAGGAGTTTGTTTAGCTGCTAGCCAGAAGACCTGCGTTTGGGAGTTTGGTGTAACTCCTTACTTGCAAAACTGCGCTAGTGTGTGATCATCAGAACATATGCACTCAGTCTCTGAGAGAAGGGAACCAGCTGGCTGGCAGAAAAATACCATTGGCATTGCCCGTGTTCTTGTGTTGACAATGTCACAAGCTGCCCTCCCAGATGGAGAATTTGAATGAAGCCAGTTGTGGGTCATGAAAAAAACAGCCTTCATTTTTGTGCATCGTTCTTAATGATTGTTATTGCTTAGATATCGTCTTATTTCATGGTCAGCAAAAACAGATAGTCATTTTGAAGGTATCTTTCAGGTTTCTCATTTGAAAGCAAGCAATGTATAGTGAACTGTATTTGTACTCTGTCTGTAGTGATGGCCGATCTCCTGCATTGCTAAGCATTTAATTTTTCTGTTACAATGTGTGGTTCTGTTTTTCCCTTAGGAACGATCAGACCAGGGAGTCTTTCAAAAATCAGCCTTTGACGGGAGTCATAACTTCGCAGCTGCTTCCCGACGCAGTGATACTATTCTTCAGCAGTTTGTAACATGCAGTCCTCAGGAAAGAATAAAAGGTAGTCACTAGATATCCTTCTCTGTGCTAAAAGAAGGTGCTTTGTGTTTTTGGTTTTTGAAATCCACAGCCACTAGAAAAGCAGTTAATTAGAGTAAGTGCACACTATGTTACTTTGAGGCTTGAAGATCCAGCGAGGGTGGGAGAGCTGACTCAGAAGTTGTGAATTAGATTCCTGGCACAAATTCCAGTTTAAGTAACAGTTTCTAGCTCGCTGCCCCAACACGTAAGGTTGGATAAAAAACAAATGATGAGTGCAAAATATATGTTGTCAAAATGTTTATTTTCTATATATCTTTAATGAGTGCAATGATTTTTGCATTGAATTCTTAGATCATGTCCCAGGATATTGTAAACTAAATTAATTTATACAAAGGCGTGATATTCATAAAGTACACTTGCTTAGTTTAGACTTAAAGGTAAAAATTTGTTCAAAGGTTAGAAACAGTCCCTTAATTTACAAATTAGAATTATTAATGAACTCATTAAAAAAATTAGATGTGTACGTTGTACAAAGAAAACCTGTATGTATGAGCATATGCAAGCATATAAGTAAGAGCTTTTAAGACCACTTATTTTCCTGTCTTCTTTCATTTCTGATGGCATACTGTACTATCTGTCCAATTTGCACCTGACTCAGCAAGATACTAGTTATTTAAAAAGTTTAAGTATTTGAGATGGTCTTGACCCCTATCCTTTTAAGTGTGCTCTTATCCTTCAAGCCAAGCACATACTTAAATACCTTCCAGTAGGGAAAAAAAAAAAATTTTCTTTGATGTAGTTGCATTATGCATGATTTTTTCCACTTCCCTAGACAACTGCAAAATCTGTGTGGCCTGCAAAAAGTAATTTCATAGGCTGCTGTGATGACTGCGTGGAGTACCTTTAACCAAAACCAAAGAGCCCCTATCTGTAAAGGTCAAGAGTGACTTGCATAAAATTTAGGGGTAAATTATTTGTGTTGACTTCAGTATTTTGACAATGTGTCTCCAGACAAATAATTAGATATCAACTCAAGCGCTTGTAAATATTGGAAGATCACATCCTTTTGTTTAGATCTACCTTACATTTCTCTTTATGGAATTTACACTGATTCTGTAGTTACAGGAGAAAAGGGTCATCCTTGGAGCTAGCCTGCCCTGTAGAGTTAGCCACTGCCAAAGGATCAGAAAGCAGCAAATCCCTTTAAACACTTGCTTAAAAAAACATAGAATCATAGAATGTTTTGGGTTGGAAGGGACCCCTAGAGGTCATCTAGTCCAACCCCCCTGCAGTGAGCAGGGACACCGCTAACTAGATCAGGTTGCTCAGAGCCCCGTCCAACCTGGCCTTGAATGTTTCCAGGGATGGGGCCTCCACTACCTCTCTGGGCAACCTGTTCCAGTGTTTTACCACCCTCATTGTAAAGAATTTCTTCCTTACATCTAGTCTAAACCTACCCTGGTTTAGTTTAAAACCATTACCCCTTGTCCTGTCACAGCTGTCCCTACTAAAAAGATTTTCCCCATCTTTCCTATAGGCCCCCTTTAAGTACTGAAAGGCCATAATCAGGTCTCCCCACAGACTTCTCTTCTCCAGGCTGAACAAGCCCAACTTTCTCAGCCTGTCCTCATAGGAGAGGTGCTCCAGCCCTTGGATCATTTTTGTGGCCCAACTCTGGACCCGCTCCAACTGTTTCATGTCCTTCTTGTGATGAGGGCTCCAGAGCTGGATGCAGTGCTCCAGGTGAGGTCTCACCAAAGCAGAGTAGAGGGGCATATAAGCAACTGCTCAGGAGCCATTGATACAGGTGAATGGCAACAGGTAACTTGTCACTTTTAAAGTTCAGAACAAAATATGTTGAACAGCTGGACTTTCAGGTAAGGATTCTCCAACTGTGATCCAAAAACCAGGCTGACTAGTTTGCAGCTCATTCATAAAATAATTTTCAGTAGACATCTTTTTAATTAAAGAATGATGGTAAGAAGGCATTACAGCAAAAAAATGTGATGGCCTCAGAAGAGAATGTGTGTCAGATGTGGGAAGGATGCTCTGGAGTGCTGCTGATTGTCAGGGAGGGTTTGGCATGGCTGGGGCTTCCCAGCCCCGGCCTGGGAGCAATTTGGAATTTGAATCAGTGGACAACAGATGACAAAGACATTTCTAGCACTTACTAGAAGTAGCATTGTATTGCAATTTCTGTTGGAGGTTTGGCATTTGATGAGTAAAATTTAAGTGATCTTATTGGAGAACTGCATGGGTGCCTTCAGCAGCTGGGTGTCTGCAGCAGGGCTCCGATCTGAAGTTTTCTTGGTGAAAACCACTTTGGGCTTACAGCAGTCCTGCATGTTGTAGAAATTTTTCTCTAATTTTGAAGTCATAGTATTAATTATTATTGAGCTAATACTCATTCTGCTTTCCATATGCACACGTCGCTTATTTCCAGTCCCTGGTTCAAACATATTTTTGTATTGTTTCTTAGCACAGTTTTGTCCTCAGTCTTTTAAGGCATTTGTAAAGGCAAACCACTACAGCTATGCACAACCCTCATTATTATTAACTCAGTTACGAACTTCAGGTTGTGTGTCTGTTTAAGGACCTGAGTCACAGATGTGGTGAGCTTCTTGTGACAGGCAGCAACAGTTCCTTGTACATTCTTACAGTGTGCTATCCAGCTCTTGTATGTAGAAGTTGGTATATTTTTACAAAGAATAATAAAAGATAGAAGAGATTTTTAACATAATACAGGATCTAATGTAAGAATTATATGACAGGAGCTGTAATACGTTTAATAAAATGTCACTTTCTCAATTAATGTTTTCTCATAAGTTATTTCTAATATCATTCACTGCTCCTACCAGTAAAATTCTTGTAAAAGCTCAGCAAAAATACACTGAAGCTTGGCCTGCTACTATTGTTGTCTGTTTTAGGAGTCTTTTTTTATTATACATGAGCAAGAAAAACTAATGTCTGGGAGAAGTGGTTATAGCCAAAACATTACATTTTGTCTTGCCTGTGGATATTTAAATAAGGGGGGAGGGGATACTGATCTGATATTGAAGTGCCGTTGTTTGTTCTATTTTTGCATGAATAATAGTTGCTGCCTTCAGGTCCTCACTTCCTTTGCTGCCAAGCTGTTGCACAGATTCAGTGTTTTTTAGAACAACCTCTTTGAGAATTGATACTTCAGTGCCAGCAGCTTCACATTTCTGGTGTTGAAAGATTACTGGAATGTGTTTCATTAGAGGTTCCTGTGTATTTCTTATAACCCTACGTTATAAACAGTTATAGGGGAAATGCTGTCATCTCTCTTGTTAAGTAGTAGAATAATCATAAACTCTCTCTACTACCATACACTGCTGAGTCTTCATGGTTGTACCAGGATCTCTGTTTTCATACATGTATGGTAATGTCAACGTAGAAGATTAAGAAGTGAAATTAATGTTTCAATTTTGTTTGTCAATCTTACATGTATCTTATAGACAGACTCAATTATTCACTCTCTTAAACTGTTCAGTATTTGAAAATTCGCAGGCTGGAGAGTTGGGCAGAGAGGAACCTGATGAAGTTCAACAAGGGCAAGTGTCAAGTGCTGCACCTGGGGAGGTCGAACCCCATGCACCAGTACAGGCTGGGGGCTGACCTGCTGGAAAGCAGCTCTGACAAGAAGGACCTGGGAGTCCTGGTGGACGACAAGCTGACCATGAGCCAGCAGTGTGCCCTTGTTGCCAAGAAGGCCAATGGTATCCTGGGGTGTATTAAGAGGAGTGTGGCCAGCAGGTCGAGGGAGGTTCTCCTCCCCCTCTACTCTGCCCTGGTGAGACCCCACCTGGAGTACTGTGTCCAGTTCTGGGCTCCCTGGTTCAAGAAAGATGAGGAACTCCTAGAAAGAGTCCAGAGGAGAGCAACAGGGATGATTAGGGGACTGGAGCACCTCCCCTATGAGGAAAGGCTGAAAGAGTTGGGCTTGTTCAGCCTGAAGAAGAGAAGACTGAGAGGGGATCTAATCAACATGTACAAATATCTTAAGGGTGGATGTCACGAGGATGGAGCCAGACTCTTCTCAGTGTTGCCCAGCAACAGGACAAGGGGCAGTGGGCACAAATTGAAACATAAGAAGTTTCAGTTGAATATAAGGAAGAACTTCTTTACTTTGAGGGTGACAGAGCACTGGAACAGGCTGCCCAGGGGGGTTGTGGAGTCTCCTTCTGTGGAGATATTCAAAGCCCGCCTGGATGATGTCCTGTGCAACCTGCTCTAGGAGAACCTGCTTTAGCAGGAGGGTTGGACTAGATGATCTCCCGAGGTCCCTTCCAACCCTGGCCATTCTGTGATTCTGTGTTTAGTGGCTTAGCTGTTCTTCTGATTGCTCTGGATCTGTTCAGGTAATTTCCTGAGGTCTTGAGCATGGAACTAATGACTGCCTCTTAAGTGAAATTCTCTCACTCTTTTGCTCCTGCTCCATTTTGCTGGGAGGTGTAGTCCCTTGTGATCATTTCTGATGCTCTCAGGAAGTCTGACGTTTTTCTGTATGTACCGTTTGCGTACCGCAAGAAAAACCCCAGTGGTAACCCATCACCAAACAGCCTTTGTGAAATGACTTGCCAATTACTGTGAATCAAAGTGAGCATATCATGTAGTTATATTAAATCTTTCCAACTATGGCTATTGGAGGCTGCTCAAAGAGGTGTGGTCTGACTTTTTTTTTCTTTTCTTTTTTTTCCCTTCCACCATCAGGTATCTGGTTTCTCCTTTGGGTAGTCAGTGGTTTGAGGACTTCCTAAATCAGAGGTTCTGTCTGGACCATTGTGCCATTGATACCTCTCTAACTTTTAGTCCATTTCTTAATTTATTTTTTATTTTGTTTCCAAAACATCCTCATGTGGCAATGAGTTCCATGATTAATTGCACAGGAAAAAATGCTACTTCGTGTTTGTTCTCTGTGTGCTACTTGATAGTTACATTAGGTGCCTTCTAGTTACTATGTGTGAGACAGTCAGTGAGATCCTCCTTTTCACCTTATGCATAAACCCCTCTTGTATCCCCTTTTATTGCTGCATATTCTAAACCAAAGAATCCCAGCCTGTGTTTCTTGTAGGAATGTTTCTACGTGTGCCCAACCACCCTTGCCACCTTTTCAATATGTTTCTGAATTACATTACATTCTCTTTCAGACAGGAAGAATGAAACCTTAGATGCTATTTCAAAACTAGGCACACCATTAACTGAGTTTTAGATGGAGCGTTTGGACTTTTCTTAAGGCTCTGAATGTCTGTTTCCTTTTGACTTCGCTAAGCATATATTCAAAGAATGATCCAGTGCACTTCTATTGTATTGTTCCTGAGCGGTAATTGTTAAAGTAATAGCCTTTGTGTATGTGTCAAGAGTTTTCCCCTACTCCCATATGTATCATTTTGCAGTCACTGACAGAGAATTTCACCTGCATTGCCTACTTACTTAATATCCTGCAATATTTTGCAGAGCTTCATAATCTGCTTATTTTTGGTAGTTCTGAGTGGGTTTACATGAGTAAATTTTTTCATCTTCTGATTTGTCTTTCAAATCATTTAATTACATTGAACAGTATGAGTTTCCCCTTTGTTAAAAATTGCCTTTTACTCCTCATTTCTGTTTCCTTAAATTGCAACCTGAAAGAACATGCAAGAAGCTCGTGTGCATGTATGTTAGGTAGCATACCTGTTTTCTGTATCAGACTGGCAATCAATATTTTTTAAGGTCTTGTTAGAACTTTTCTCCTCATCTGCTCACCTTCCATTTCTTATGACGTTCTCACTTTTCCTGAGATACGGGATTTGAACTATTTCTTGTCTTTCTGATCTTTAGGAGGCTATCCAGTCAGTAGGAGTTTTATAGGATTCTAGAGCTGTAGTGTGGTTTTTCTGGGATTTTTTTGTTTATTTGCTTTTAGGGAACTATCTCAGCTCTTATCTAATAAATATAATCTATTGTTGTCTGCCTTGATCCCCTCCTTGTAAACTCTTTCTCTCAAGTCAGATTAGTACTTCCACGCAGGATTGTTTAACATTCAACGCAACAAAACAGGTCACATGAAAGTGTGGTATGTCAATATTTTTAAATCACTTACCTGCCACTGAAACCCAAGGATTATTAAGTGTCCTGGTTTCCTGTTAAGTTTTGGAGGGGGTGAAGACGTATTCTGCATTGAAAAATGTAGGGACTTTTTATAAGATTAGACCTTTAGATTGAGAGGTGAATTTACAGGACAACTGGCCTACAGCAGGCACAGCAGTCACATTAAATACTGCAGGTATGCGGGTGTTGTTGCCTAGCAAACCACTGAATGGTTTCAGCGAGTAGTTCATGTTTTTGTTGGTCCAAAGTAATTTTCTGGTGTGAATGGAATGCCTTTTGTAAAGGTAAAGAAGGAATTACTATAATGGTAGGAAAATGAAGACTGTAATTCCGAAATGTCTCTTTCTTCTCTTGCCACGGGATAACAGAAATTTGTCGTCTTCTGAGCTCTTTGCTGAGAATGTGGTTCTCTTCTGTACATGAAAGGTAGTAAATGCTCCCCATCAAAGGAAATGAAAACATGAACCTACAATCAGTTAGGATGCAGCTATGTAGAAGTGAAAATCCACTCAAATGGAGTAAAGCAATTTGTGCCTTGCACTCAACTTCACTACAAGCACAAAGTTTCCCTATATTTATGTTTAATTATGCATATGCAAATCTGAAAATCAGCTCTTCAGGAAATCCCAAGGGGTATATTTTCTGCTTGGTGTGATTTTAATTCTAGTTTAGTTAGTTTAGGGATTTGAATAATTTGTGACTCACTTCAGCATTGCTTGAGGCCTTCCAGTCCAGTCGTTGATCAGTGAACAGGTATAATGTACTTGTTTCTGTGGCTTATTTAACCCCTTCTAAAATTTTATTTCAGAGTTGACGGTGTCTGATCATGGCAATGGTGAAAACGAAACCCCTCCACCTCTCCCACCGCATCCCAGTGAGGATCTGCTGAATGAGGATTATAGTCATAGGTTGGACTTCGGCTATTCTTAATAATTACAGCCCTAATTGCTCATAAGTGGTTGTGATAGTAGTTCTAGTTGATTTTAAAATCACTTTTTATTATGTAAAAATCTGGTTTTAGTCATCTGGATGATCCTTTAATATAAGCTGGGAATGTTATTTTAGCATTTAGTGCATTGTACATTCCAGTTCTTCATAAGCTGCAGTACTCCTGCTGTCCCTGATATATGGATCACAATACCCAGCATGTGTTCACTAAAACAAAAAGAATCCTAAAACATAATCCCAATTAAGAAAAAAAGTTAATTTAAAGCTATACCAATGGGTGCTATGTGTAGATGCAGTGCCTGAAGTCTCTTAAAGTTTTAAAAGTCCAAGCCACTTTGTAGGAAACTGAATCTTCTTATGCAGCACGTCAGCCAAAGACATTGTAGAGGTCACAAAATGAAGCTTCAGTAAGTTTGAACATTGAAATGTGTAGGGGAAAAGTTAATGGGAACTTTACCAGTTGCAAATGCATTGGGTAGATTTTTTAGATATTTTAGGAATAGCTTTTGTAAAGGCTGGTAGGCTTGATGGCAGCTACAAGCTTTAATTTCCTTAGTAAATACTGAAGTTTGGAAGTGCAGAAAAAAATGTAAACATATTGAAGTTCATGGTGGCATATCCTTTGTCTGCCTCACATAGCACAGGATTCAAATCAAAGCATCATCTCAACCTATCATACTTCTGATGCTGAATATTCAACGTTGAACAGTTTACTCATTTTCTATATATTCAGTTTTGATAGTCATACAACTGTTTTATTGCAATGATATTGGGAAAGTATGCATTTCAACTAAAAACTTCTGTCCTTGTGTACATGGACGTGATTAAAATCTACCCTTTAAATGACTGGTTGCACTTAGTGTCAAAGAGTAGATGTATTTTATCATGGATACCTTGAATTCTTCATACAGTGAAGACTCTTGTAACTATTTTCTTTTTGCTAACATAGAGTAATTTCACTAGAGTAATTTCATAAATTCTGGACTCCCAGGCAGGTATATATGGTATGGTAAACAAAGAAAAGTCTCCATAGACTCTGCATTAAATTCTCAGCTGCAGTTGTTTGCTAGAATCTGTTCCTAATTTTTCAACAAGCTGGGAGCAAAAACATTCTCTTAAATGATAATGCTGTATGAAAATGATGATGAATTTACAGGCCCTTTCTCCCATCTTGACTTTTTTCCAGGGTTGTGTTGGTTTTCCATTTGGAACTTAAGTTCTGTTGAAATTGAATTCCTGTGTCAAGTCACACTGATTTCACTGAAATTGTGTTTCCGCAAAAAATTGGGGAAAGTGTTTTGATGCTGTAAAATCAAACCTTTTGACTGAACAGTTTGGAAATACATGGTTTTAATTTTGGAATTGCTTTTTGGTTTTAGAGCATTTAAAAAAAAAAAGGGGTTCTGAGTTGAAAACAGACACAAAACATTTCAGATGCATTGCATGTGTTTTTGACTTCTCACAGGTGAAAGTTACTTTGAGTTTCACTCAGGTGGAATTTGATATGTTTTGATAGTTGCTTAACTTGAAGTAAAATAATTAAAAAACAAAACAAAAAAACAAACCACAATACCTTGGAATTCTTCAGAGTAGCACCCTCCATAAGACCTCTAGGATCCAGCCTCTGCAGAAGTGGTGCAAGGCTGTAAAATAACTTAATGTTAGCAGATGAAGTAGACTTGAGCCAGGTACTTCGGAAGTATTTTTCCAACTTTCGGTAGCATGTTATTTGGAAATGCAGTGGTTAAATAGAACCAGCAAAATGCGGAAAAAAAAAGTAGCAGGTACTGGTATGTTGCTCTTTTCTTCTGCTAAATAAAAACGGAGTTGTTTAAAAGCAATTATCACTAAGCATTTACATTTATATTTGCATCTGTGATGAAAAACAAGTGACTGGAGGTGTTAAGTCTCAGAAAAGAAAGTTGAGGATCAATAACTGATTTTAAAATGCATGGCTGTAAGCAACTGGAGGAAGAAACATGTATATTTGTGCATGCTTTAATTAGTTCTCTTGTGTTTTGAACTGGTGCCTAAATATTTTACATGTGTCTTTTTTTTTTTTCCCCTGCAGCCCTATCATAAATTCAGCAGTGCATTTAACAGATCAGCACATCAACTTCAGATCTTTGACACCAGCCAAGCAGTCTGAATCAATTAATCTGAAAGCCTCAAAAAGCATGGATCTGGGTAAGAAGGGGTGGGGTGACATACAGGTCAGCTTTTTAGCTTTAGCCCATCTGCACCATCTCTGTCTCTTGCTTTTGTTTCTTAAACACAAACATCAGGGAGTAAGTTCTGCAGAGGAGCTGCAGTGGTCAGGACAATGGTCTGCCTCCTGTAGCATTTAATTGCAAGTACCCTTTTTATTGAAGCTGAAGAAAGGTTGTTTTTTTTTTCTTTTTTCTTAAATGCCATTGTATCCATTGTATTGAAATCTTAGTTGAGGAAAAGAGGGAGTGTTTGTAAAAATGAGCAGAAAGAATTGCTGTATGAGTTTTATGTGTCTTAAAAATATAGCAAAACTGCAGTAACAACAGTCATTTTTGTATAGAATATAAATGATTGTAAAACTACCCTGGACGAAGGCTAACTTTCCTAAGACAAGTTGTATATTTTTTCATTGACAATGGCTAACACAGGCAATCAAAGTGTTGCAGTAGATCTTTATAAATGCTTGAAGAGTGGTAAGGTTATGGTCCTCCTCTACCCATCAGTGCTGTGCAGAAAATCTTGCAGGGTGGGTGAAGCAGAAAGTAAATGGTTCTTTCAATACTGGGAAAGCATTTGCAGGTAGAAGATTGAAGGGTTATTGCAGTTGAAAACCAAGTCATGTTTTAATAAGAGTTCAAGGAAAAATTCGCAAAGTTCTTAAGCCTCAAAGAAAACCAAATAAGCTTTTCTTTTCCCTTTTAATTCTTCCTTGTGGCACTCATTCTTTATCTGTTTTTTTTTCAAGTTCAAGTGTTGATTGAGTAACTTTGAGACCTACCATTAGGATGTCTGTAATCATAGATTTGTGTGGTTTGGTGGATCAGATTTTGTACGCCATTAATAGAAAGCGATTAATTTCATATCTGTTTTCAAGGTAGCTTTTTGGTGGCACTGTTTTTTTATTCCCCCCCTGAAATGCTCTAGCTTGCATTTAGGTTTTGTATTGTTGATTTTTATTGTCATCGTCATGTAAGATAAAATGTGTGTACTCCTCTAATGAAGTGTAAGGCAAGTCGAACAGTCATTAATGCAGGATAAGAATGGGTAAGAATTCATTTAGGGGAGTTCATAAGGCAGAATTTTAAAGCTACTGTATGACCAGACCAGAAATTCATTCTTTTGCAGTTCTGTTCCACCGTTTTGACGGAGAGTAATGTATTAGATATTTTTTTTAAGAATGGAAATGCTCCTCAACAAAGGAATGAGTTTCCAGAGACCTGAGTCAAAACATGTATTATATGTTATACTAGAAAAAATAATGTTCAACTTTACTGAGGCTTCTATTAGAAAGGCTTACTTACAGCTCCCACAGAAGTCACTAGAAAGAATGCTCGCAAGCACCAATATAAAACTATGGAATGGGAGCACGCTCAAGAGCGTTTTCAGAACTGCCAGGTAACTTGTGGTTCCTTTTGTCCTGGTCTGTGTTTGTTTATGTTGTGAGATTCAAATTTGTATAAGCAATCTGCTCATGACACACAGAAACAATGCTTTGAGAATGTATATGAGTCACTAAATCACAGTGATTAAAAACTAAAATAAAATTGGATGCAAAAATTAAAATAAAATACAATTTGGGTATGAAGATGTCTTTAAGATCTTTAAAAAATTGTTGCTTGTAGAAGGTAGTTGTTGAAAATGCCCCTTCTGCTAAGAAACTAAAAAGCAAAAGGGGTAGTGATTAGTCTGATTGGAGGCACTAATGTTTTATCAGTCTCTTATATGGTGACATGAAGATAAATCTATTGCCCAAGATAATTATTCAAAGAACTGGAGGGACTATGAAAGAGCTGCACCCATCTTGTGTTACATAAATAAAAACAGATGAAGTAAAATTGCTTGCCCATAGCTTGGCAAATAAAGAAACTGAGGAAGATGAAAGCTAGGACCTTTTACAGTTCTTTAGCAAGCAGTGAAGTACCATGTTTGACTTTCCATCTTTTGAAGGATTTTAAGCAGAAGCTTCTGGCTGGAAGGGTAAAAGGAAAAGAAACATGAAAATCTTAAGTGAAGTAACTGCAATATAAAATGCTTCCAATGCAAATAAAATACCAGTAACTTGGTATATAAAACTATGCTTCCAAATTGAGCATTCATATAATGCACACTCCAAAATGGATTTTAAGGGAAGGAAAGTTATTTCTTAGTTTGTTTTTATATTTCGCTCATTATTTAACTGCAGTCATGACCCATAGTAACTGTGTACCCATTACAGATTTCAATGCATTGTTTGCCCCCAAAAAAAAAAAAAAAAAAAAAAGGAAGTGCTGGTGTCTTCGTCTTCCAGACCCAGAGCTGAAATTGTGAAAAGGATTTGTTCAGCACCACAGAGGAACTATGCAGGAGAATTTGTAACAAAGAGGTGTCCCCTTTCTGAAAATGCTTCTATAACTAGGCCCTCTTTTTCCAGTAGTCATGGGATGCTGTCCACTTACTACTTTCCTTTTGTTCTCAAGTTTTGCCAGTCCTTTCCAGAATAAATCCAACATGATGAACAGAAAAATCAGAGGCCAGGAGGAGAGCTCTGAGACCTCACAAAATGTGACTTAGGTGCAGTTTCTTTCCTTTTAAACCAAGTTGTCTCTGAATCGTGTGTCTCTGCAGATCTGGGAAGACATTATCAGCCTTTCAGTTACAAGGTCCAGAAATCACCTGGATGTGTCTACATCCAGAATAATGTCATGAACTCAGTAGACAGCAGAATTGGTGTAATGTCGGTCATAAATGTGGAATCTGTACTGCTATTCACTTATGAAACATTCTGCTTTACCTTGAAACATGTATAATGCTTCCATTGCCTTATTTTAAGATTAGAAAGGCATGGATTACATAATGGCATCACCATCAGAAGGATCATAAAGGGCAGATAACAGAAAATTTTAAACACAAGACAGTCAAGAATCCAGACACTGCTATGGCTGGTGAACCTTACGAGAAAATAGTAAATTGATTAAATTAGGGAGCTAAGGAAATTTTATAGTAAGGGTCTTTCTGGCTTTGATGAGGGTTGATGTATACACAAGAAGCAAATCTGTTAAGTAAAGACTAGTTATAATTACATAGATTCACAATGGAAACCCATTTATCATTGATGTTTTTCATCTTTTCAGTTTTATGTATTTTAGGCCCAGAAACCTTTGAGTGCTTAATCTGTTTTCCAGTCCTATTTATTTACAAAATAATCATTATCATAATTATAAATTAATACCCTCAGTGAGCAATATCAGGAAATAAGGATGGATGATCAAAAAGTGTTCAGTACTAGCAGCATTGCATCAGTTTGTCATTGTCACTCTCCAGAGCAAATCTTGCAATGAAAGGAACTTGGTGCATGCAGCAAAAGCTGTAAGTTACTTGCCAGTAGAGCAGATACGGTTTTGGTTATTGATTCTTGATGAATTTGTGTATCGCTGATGGGACAGTGGGGGAGGAGCAGAGGGCATGAACCACTGCGACCCGGTTGCTTAGGCAGGGCTCTGTGGCATCATTTGCGTGCCATGACTCATAGGAACTTACACAAGTCTTAACTGCTAAATTCACAAACAACATGAATCCAAAAGTAGCATTATCTGGAGTTGGTGTATTTGAAGAACTCAAGTTATTTGCAGATGAGTTAGCTTTTGCTTGAATCTGCTTTAAAAAATAAAATTAATCAATGGCATATGTGAGTTACCAAGTTATCGTTGTAGAAATTAAAAAAAAAAAAAAATACAAAAAGGCCAGTGCAGTGGTACTCTGATAATCTCTTTGGTTTTTTAGGCATGAGCAGAACCTTGCCTCTTATGTACAGATGTCCTTCCACAACATGTATGGAGGGAGGGTGACTGGGTCCCTGCTTTAGCATTCATAATTTACGCAGTGGTCAAAGGCTTCTCAAAATTTAAAGCTTCATTCAGAGTAGTAGGGTACAGATTAGGTCCAGAGCAGCTATAAGTTCTAGTGTTCTTCCCCGATGCTGTGTTGGGATAACAACAGCACTTTCTGGATCACTGGTAGAGTTCATACCCTTTGTATTATGGTATATCTGTTCTTTGCCTTGTCTACTTTTATTTTGAACTTGTGGTGACAAAAGAGCACAGCTACCCTGTTCCTTCTACTGATCCTGGCACCTGACACATCTACTCAGTTGCATAATTTTATTTTTTTTTTTTTAATGGATGGTGGTGTTTGAATATGTTAGCAAAGAAAAGGTTCTTATTCTGTGATGTCAAGAATTTATGCAGGGCCAACCAAAGTCTGACTTAAAGTGCATGCCTGTACTGACCAAATTTAGCCTGCATGCCATGTTTGGAATTGTGCTTATGGCATAGTCTTAAAAATAAGCAAAACTAATTCAGAAACGCTAGAAATAAATGTCGTGTTGTCCCTTCCCACTTAAGCGGTACACTTTTTTTGAAACTTAACAGCAGATTGAAAATGAAGAATAAATCAATGGCTTCTATACAAGTCATTGGAAGGATGATTCTCCCTTTCCTTTAACAACCTTCTATACACACACATTTTCCCATACATAGCCACTGTTGTCTAGAGAATTTCTATATAATCATCAGAATCCATTTTCAGTAGTGTTTTTTCTTTCTTTTAGCTGTATTAAAAAGGTAATTTTTGTGGAGAATGAATGCCAATATGGATTTTTTTTTTAACGTTGTATTGGAAGGTGAAAATCGGTGTGCTCTAAGAAAAAGAAAGGAAAGAAAGTGTTTTATTATTTACCTCCAACACCCTTATTTTCCATTCATCTTTATGCACAGGAGTGATTTAGGCTATGCATAAATGTACTGTAAAAACTACAGCCTTGGGAATTGTATTCAAACACATGAAAGTGTGGCTTGTTTTAACCTGAAGCAACATGAAATTGAATCATATGAGTATATAGCAATTTCATTGTGTATCAATTCAGGCAAAGTACCGTGTAGATTTATATTTGAGGATGTTGGTATAATAACCCATGACCGCTATCCCAAGGTACTGCTCAA